CCCAAGGCTCCAGGGCTAGTGTCTGATGTCTCAGGTGTCTAGCAGGGATGATGAGAAATGAAAGGTACCACCCACTCTCACCATAATCTTGGAGGAGGGGAAGTGAACCCTTACCAAGTGATGGGTGTCTCCACAGACCTGGTTGAGGTGGGATATGCCTAGGAGTCTGGGAGCCGGTAAGTCTGCTCAACCAGGGCAAAGGAGCAGAAAAAGAAAATAGAGCTAGTGTGTCCAGAGGAGACAACAGAGTGAAGGGGTTTTATAGATAGAAGAGAATTTTGCTAAAAGATTCTTAATGTAAATAAGTCAGTAGCCAGTAAATGGAAGGACTAATGGTTTGAAGAAACTTGGGGATGTCCTTTTCCCGCCAGTTGTCTTGTACCTTGGACCTCTGCGTAATATCTTAGTCTGTGTGTCTCCTATTCTTTTGATGATGTCTATCCCATTTCAACTGGACCCCTCTAGGATCCACTCCAACAGGGTGGACCCCTACTCTGAGAGTTTTTACATTGTCCAGATTGTGGGAACACTGTGCCTGCCCAAGATACTGTAAAATTCTGCTACAGTACTTCCTGCCAAGTGGTGTAGACACTTGACTCCATGAAACCCTGAGAGATTTTGTAGGTTATGGACAAAAAGATTTACCCAGTAGGTCTGGATGGAAGAGAACAGATAGATTTCCCATTTTAGAGTTGGCCCATGAATATTATCTGCCAAGACCCTTCAGGGTTTCATACAATGTAAATGCCTAAATAGATGTGGAAGTTATCCAGGGCTGAGTAGAAAAATAGGTAATAAGGACCCTGGAGTTATTCCAGAATATGCCCATAGTTACAAATTAGGCATCTCCTATTCCTCTATCGGCTCGTTCCAGATATTGGAAAAGGATTTTAAGGTTGTGAAGTCAGGAATTAGTCGTCTAGTAAGGATGTGGTAAAAGGTTCATGTTCCCCAGGTAGCCTGTATGTGCTGGATGGAGGGAATGCACTTTCGTGGGCTCCGCGGGAGGCTCTCAGGACCCAGATGGAGAGCTTTAGTACTAGATCTATTCTTCCCTGCAAAGATGGGGCATAAACCATCTCCAGATACAGTTTATCAGGTACCCATTTAAAGAGTTAGGCCAGTGATGTTCCCTACAATATCATAGGACACAGGTAAAGAGGAAGTTCTGTTTTCTGTCCTAGAAAGTGATTCTTATCTAATTGAGTTCCTGTCCAGTTTTGAACCTGGAGACAAATGCAACAATGTCCCTGAAAACAACAGTAGCAAAGAGGCAAGTGAGAGTGTAGGTCAAGCGGTCCAGTTGGGCAGGTGCGGTGTATTAAATCGTAACAACACATTGATGCTAGGATTATATGCCCAGAATGTGGGCGCTGGGGAGTCATGACTAGGAGTGGAATTCTTGAGGATCAATGTGGTGGGTCAGAGTGTGCTGTTTGTGGAGGAGGCTCCCGGGCCGTGATGCCTGCTGGCCATCCTCGCTCCTGTTACTTGTCTCGGTTTCTCTCGCCGGCTGTCTAAAACAACATGAGGACCGGGCGTGCTGGGCCACCAAACCTTATATGCACCCCCTCAATGGGTCAAAGTTTAATTACACTTGCATTCTGGAGTCCCTATGAGGCCCTTGCATGTCACGAGGGGGACCCTCGGAAACCTCTGCAAGGACCCGCAGTTACCGAAGAGAGTCTGCTTGTGCAGACCAGAGGGAAGATGTGCCTCAGATCTTTGGCACATCGCCAGGTGCTCACAGTTACTTTAGTTTTCCGCTTGCAGGAGTTCCCCCCCCCCCCCATACCTTTGTTGTTGTTGTTAATCATCATCCATGGATGTTTTTCCATTGATTTTTAGATAGAGTGGAAGGGGGGAGAGGAAGAGAGAGATAAAAACATCAATGTGAGAAAGATATATTGGTTGGTTGCCTCCCAAAAGACCTCAGGTAGGGCCGGGATAGAACCTGCAACCCAGGTATGTGCCCTTGACCAGGAATCAAACCTATGACCCTTGGGTCTGCCAGCTGACTGATGCTCTAACTGCTGAGCCAACCTGGCCAGGGCGGCAGTCATTCCCTTTTATCTAGGCCCTCCCGATCCTAGATAAGGACAAGTAAAGCAGCCCTTTCTCTGGCCTCGCAGCCTCGGTTTGTGCTATTCCCGTCGCAGCACCAAAGATGTTACGGATTGGGGTTACCAGCTGGGACCCCCTTTCTTCTCATGGGCACAGAAAAGCTTTTAAGGCCAGTGAAAATTAAAGTAAAGCAAAGTGGGATTGACTGAAAATACACTCCAAGTTAGGAGCAGGCCAGTCCAGAGGGTCACTGGCCCTGAACTCTGGGTTATATGGTTTAAATGAAGGATTTTCTGGATGGAGACTTTTGTTTGCTTCCAGGGACGATTGACAGAAAAGAATTATATTGCTGTATTCCTTCTGCAAATGTCCTTACCCATAATGCATACAGCAAAACCCACGGTGGGGGTGGGGGGTCAAAACTGCAATGCAAATTTTATTATAATTAGTCCAGGGCCCTAGTAAGGTCTCACTGAGGTCACGTCATTGTCCTCTGCTCTTGGGCTGAGCACAGGCTGGTTCTGAACCTACCAGCTGGTCTGCTTCAGGAGCTGCCGACTACAGGGCTGCCCACAGGGAGGAGGTCTGAAGGCAGTGTTGGTCTGGCCCCTGTCAGGAGCCCAGGGCAGGCAGGCCCCACCCCAGCTGCTCATGTCTAATTTTCTACCTAATAATCTGCACTGGAAAAATTGATGTATAAACACTCCCACACCCACAGAAGAAAGCAACAGTTTCTCTTGATTGTCCTTGTAGTTATTTCAACTTTCAAACATTGCTTATAAGAATTATGCAGAAAAATAGAGAAGGAATGAATCTGGTAAATTTCCTTCATTATGTTTGGAATATATTACCTATATTGTCAATAGAAGCTCTTGAAGGAAAGACCAGTGAAGACATTTATATAAACAGTTGTTTCAAATTACTGAAAACTAATTTTATTATATTAGGGTTATGTTTGAAAGGATCCTTGAATTTATATGGTATATATTTATTTCCCTTTAGGCTAAATATAAGAGGAGTAAAGCTTGCTGTGATGCTCAATACTGAGAAATAACTTTGTTATCAAAAAATAATATTTTTACTGAGATATGCTTATTGCCTATAATGCACACTGGTTAAGAGATGGGAAATTTTATCATTGTATATAATTTATACTCCACTCCCTGTCCAAAAAAATGGCAAGAACTTTCCTTCACTTAAGGAAAAGGCACTACCAACCATTCTAGTATCACTCAGATGTACACCTTGAGTTGTTTTTCCAGTGTATGGATCATTTAACTATTAATGTTTAATAGTTAAACCCTTATTAAATATTACTTAATACTTAAATCATCCATTTCCTCTTTCACCTACTTTCCTTACAATACTTACTTTTGTAAAATGAGTTTGTTGATAGAGGTTATAAGTGTATTCTGTGGGTATGAAATGACGAGAGACTAACTTATTTGGTATCAGTTCTACAGTTTAGTTATTATTCACGCCATGTTGTAATCAAATAAATAAATACAGATAATGCTTCAACTCCAGGTATAGATCATACAAATAAACTAGCTCAGCTGTATGAAACTCAAGAAAGAACTAAAGGTGAGTCTAGAAGGAGAACTCTAGGAGCCATTCAGGGTTTCGTCCCTTCGTAGTACTGATTGTATAGCAAGGAGGAATTACATTAACCGCCCTCTCTCCTCTAATATTGGAAGGCATTGGGTAACTTTGGACAGTTTTCTAATCCACACCTTTAGCTCTTCATCAATATTCTTATTACATTTCTAAAATAAAATAAATTCTTCAGATAGTGTTGATGAATGTAAGTGAATAGAAGCAATGGATAACTCACAAAATTTTGCTTTATGTTTTATTTTGTAGTACATTCCATGTTTTTTTACTCAATATCTTTCTAGTAGTGTTTTATTCAGGTTAGTAAGAAATTTTATTTTGTATTCCTTGAGCACCCATAGTGGTTGAGGAAGGCAACCAAGGAAAGTTAATATATTTATTTTTAATATATATGGGTAAACCTGCCAGAGACTATGGAAAGAAAATTATATTTGCAATTAGGAAATGATTATTGCATATGGGAATTTTTTGAAAAATTTATTTTTTTCTGCTTGGCCTATTGACCTTTCAAGATAGCCATATTTTCTTTCTTTTTTTTTTTTTAATTTTGTTTTAATCCTCCCTGAAGGATATTTTTCCATTTTTTATTCAGATAGAGTGGGAGGGAGAGAGAGGAAGAAAGAAACATCAATGTGAAAGGGCTACATCCAGTGGCCATCACCCGCATGACCCAACCAGGGCCAGGGACAAACTGCAACCGAGGCACATGCCCTTAGCGGGAACTGAACCCGGGTCTCTCTGGACCACAAGCCGATACTCTAATTGCCGAGCCAAATCGGCCAGGGCAAGATAGCCATCTTTAAAAAATAATTCTCACCAGAGAATATATGTTTCTGTTGATTTTTGGAGAGAGAAAGAGGAGGAGGAACATCAGTGTGTGAGAGAGAAACATTCATCTGTTGCCTCTCATATGCACCCTGACTGGGGAATTGAACCTGCAACCTAGGTATGTGCCCTGACAAGGAATTGAACCTGCAACCTTTTTGGTATATGGGGCAATACTCCAACCAACTGAGCTACCCAGCCAGGGCTCAAGATAACCATAATTTTTTTAAAAAGATATCTAGTATACAACCACATACTTCTAATCATTTTAATAATGATGAATAACTATGACCTTAAGTTATAAATATCAGTGATAAACTTTCATTTATTTAATTCTAGAATTTACTGAAGGTGCTCATTGTTAATTTGGGCTTGTGCATATTTTCTAGAGCAATTTTTTTAATTATATAGTGAATGATTTTCCAGAGTTGTGATTAAATATTTTTACAATCAAAATCTGATATTATTTTATTCCCCATGCTTTTCCCTCACAACAGAAACCAGGAATGGATCTAGCAGACACCTATATTATGTTTGTTCGGCAAAATCAGGATATTCTTCGAGAAAAGGTCAATGAAGAAATGTATATAGAAAAGTTGTTTGATGTAAGTAACTGCTCTGCAAGGTATGCTGGCATTAAGAATACTGTAACGGAAAAAGTTGCATTTTGATGTGTTTGTAAAGCAGGCTGTCCTTTTTTTATTCCTTTTTTTCTATTTCATTGACTGCTGACAGAAACCTTAATTGGCTTCTCTTTGTACATGAAAACTGTCACTGTTAGAGTGAGAGTCTCAGAAACTTTGAGGTTAATTTTAACAAGCAAGATGATCGGTCTACCATTGTGTACAGCATCATTTCACTTGCCTGTGCAGCATTCCATTAACAGAGTCAGATTGCAATGGATGTGGCCCCTGCTGCAAGTTTTTATAAGTCAGTGAAATGTTCTTCAGTTAAACAAAGAAATAAGCTGCAATAAGGCCAAATATCTGCCACCCTGCTCTTAAGGAACATTTTTATCTTGATTGACAGTATTGATGTATGCTAACAGATGTAATACTGCAGTTTTGTTGGTATGAAGGTCTTCACTTAGGCACATCAACTCCTACGGATGGGGGATTGTGACTTTAGATACCATGATCATCAGGTCATTTCTTGAGTATCTGTAAAGGAGACTAAGAGAGAAGTTCATTTCAGTAATGACGTTGTCATTCATTTGTAGTTATTAACAGGAGAAAGGAAATGGTACTTTGCTTGTGACATCACTGCATAATTCACCACAAGGCTAATTCCAAAATGTAATATTTGTTTTGAATTGTATTTATTTATGTACATCTCTGCATTTTAGAAATGCTTTTCTGGCAGTTTCGTTTAATTATGCAAGTTACTGCAAATGTTTTCATAACAGCAATTCACGGGCTTCATGGTGACACTTCAGCTGTGGAGTTACGGAAGGTCCTGCTACGTCATCGCCGCCGCCATGGTCTGTCACGTCAGGGGTCTCTGTTTGTCAGATTGGGTGGTCAAAACGAGTCTTACCTTTCATACTTTATGTTTCTAGCCTGTACCCAGGCTGTTTTACAATAAAAGTATCATCTGTTTTAATAAGCTAAGTGTTAATATGTGTGAAAAGAATGATTTCCTAAAAGCTTTGATGCCCTGCAGGGGTAGAAAAATTATCATCTGTCCAGCTGGCTCTTTTACAAAAGACTGAAACCATATTAGCAACTTCTGCTTCCATTTGGTTTTGCTTTGAATGTACAAACATATGTTTCACTTCCAAGTTCTCTTACTTTTTTTTGCTTCTGTGGTAATTTTCAAAAATGTTGACCAGAAAAGGGAAGTTGAATTGATGTTATTCCATTTATTTATTTATTTATTTATTTATTTATTTATTTATTTATTTATTTATTTATTTATTATTTATTATTATTATTATTATTATTTTTTATTGTAGCTAAAGCACATGTTCTGTGCTGAAGAAAGGTAGAGTCATTCTGGAAATTAACCATTGTAGATAGGTGTGTGTGTGTGTGTGTGTGTGTGTGTGTGTGTTCTTAATATCTTCGATTTTTTTGTCTTGACCTATTTCTTGCAAAGCTTGGTATCAGTTCATAACAGAGGTAGAGGTAGAACTTTTTCCCTGTAAAAATATTCCCCACTTCTGCTCCTCTTTATTAACCAAACTTATTTTGAAGAAATTTTGTGTGCTAAGAATAACAAATGAAGCTAACTAAAATGGATACAAGGAGGCCAACATTAAAATGATGTGCTAGTTTATGTGTCCTAGTTATATATACTTTCCTTTCAATGCCTAAACATGGGGCATGGCTGTGGGTTTGCTTCTAAAAGGAACCCTAGAGCTCTGGCCATTTGGCTCATCAGTTAAAGCTTCAGCCCTCAGACCAAAGGGTCACAGGCTCAATTTCCAGTCAAGGGCACATACCTGGGTTGTGGGTTTAGTCTCTGCCCCATGCAGGGTATGGGGGAGGCAACCAATTGATGTGTCTCTCTCACACTGATGTTTCTCTCTCTCCTTCCCTTCCACTCTATCTAAGAATTAATGGAAAAATATCCTCTGGTGAGGATTAACAAAAATAGAAAAAAAATAAATAAGTAAATAAAAGGAACCATTGACAAACAACTATTCTGCCTTGGTCGTGAAGGTTTTATCATTTTGCATATCTCCAGTAGAACACTGGACTTGTTATTTATAAAATAGTTACAATGTCTTTAAACATTCTAATATTTTTAAGTTTCACATTTTTATTACTTAATTAAAAATAAAAAGTAGACTCTAATTCTATTGATATGTCATCAAGAATAACATGTATGGGGGCTTACTAAGAGCCCCTAATTAGCCAAGACTGAATTTGCCTCAATTACAGTTAGTAAATGAGAGGTTATCAAGTATGTGTTGAAAGGTAATGTAGAATGTGTATCTTAAGCAACAGATCATTACTGAGAAACATTATATAATTATTAGAAATCCACTTGGCTGGAGCTTAAAACAATATTGTTAAGTGTCAAGAAACAGTTGAAAATAATGACCCTATAAATACTGTTAGCAACCTTAGTCTATTACAGATAAAAGATTGAAGAGAACAGTTTTATTCACACATCATGACAAGTTTTTGCTATCCCAATTAAAGTACTTTCTGAGCATGTAAGAAAATTAAGCCTCCTAACTTCCGATGCAGGGGAAAATGTGTGTTCACACACGCACACACATACATCAAACCCTGAAATGTTAAAACTAAAACTATCCTTTGAAGATCAAAAAGTTAGTAATAGGATAAATATCAAGACATTCTACTTCACTCCATACGTGGTTAAACTTATAAAACTTTTGCTTAAAACAGAAATAACTTCAAAAAAGTATAAGTAAATTATGACAGACCTAAGCTGTTAATAGAAGGAACTAACTTCATTTAAGGTACATCCCTAATCTTTTCAAGTTATCAAAAAAGTAATCCTCACCTTGGCTGTCAACACGGGGGTACCTGCGTGTACATATGCTGAGTGCTTTACCTATATCATTTCTAACCTGTGGGCTAGATAGCATCATCCCCATTTTATCTTTGTTTTCCATCTAAAGAATCTCCTCCCATTCAGAGAAGACAGTGACTTAAGTGTGAGTCAGACTTTGAAATTGCGGCTCTCGAGTCCAGTGTGGGTCACGACCCCTTTGAGGGTTGAACAACCTTTTCACAGGGGTCGCCTAAGATATAACAGTAGCAAAATCACAGTTATGAAGTAGCAACAAAAATAATTTTATGGTTGAGGGTCACCACGACATGAGGACCTGTATTAAAGGGTCGCGGCATCAGGAAGGTTGGGAACCAGTGCTCTCGTTTCAAAGCCCATGCTTTCTCTACCGTAATTCGTATTTACAGTATTTGAAATGGCAAAACATTGTTGTGGAAAGAGGGCTAGACCAGAAATACAGAAATCTGAATTTCAGCCACAGTTCTACTATTAATCATCTGAGTGGGTTTTAAATTATGTCACCTGTTTAAGGCTCAGTACACTTAATACACATGAACTGAAAAAGTTAGTCTAGAACTCCGGATTGTTTCTGAAATCCCGTCCAGATTTTAAACCACCTGAAGTAAATTAGTTCTAATTTTAACAATGGCTGAAATTACCAGGTTGGTTGCTTGCTGAGTCTTGCACCACTGATTAGCAATTCTTTTTATTTTTTTTAATCCTCACCCAAGGATATGGTTTTTGTTTTGTTTTGTTTTGTTTCTTTTAAAGAGAGAGAAAAGGGGAGAGAGAGAGAGGAACATTGATGTGATAGGGACATCAATTGGTTGCCTCTAGTATGTGCCCCAATTGGGACTGAACCCAAAATCTAGATATGTTCCCTGACTGGGAACTGAACAGGCCATCTTTTGGCAGATGGGACGATGCTCCAACCAGCTGAGCCACCTTGCAAAAGCCAGAGTAGCAGTTCTTAAGTTCTTCTGTGCTGACCAGGTGAAAGCCGGGTCTCCGGTAAAGAAACAATAGCAAGTGCAGTGGATAAGAAGGTAGAAAAGAAATTTTATATTTAAAAATATTCATGCCATATGACATTGTATGTATCTACCACCATGGTTCTGAATCCCAAATTTAGAAGAGTTGGAACTCATATATTCTGTATTCATGCTGTTTTTCTGAGTGATTTAAACAGAGATTGTCTCTGCCTCTCTAGTAGTCATTGGTACACATGCTAAACTTAAAATCTACATGTTAAATTTACTTTTTCAATTTAAAAAATGTATCTTATCTGAGTAGGAGAAATCTTAAAGGAAGTTCTCCTGTAGTAGGAGAGAGAATGGATTCACCATAAGGGTTTTCTGCTCTGTAGGCAGTCTCTCTTACCATGTCCATTTTCTTCTAATATAAAACATCATTGTCAGTAGTCTTTTTAAAATTTTTAACAGATAAAAACCATTTATATCTTGTCTAATCCTAATATTAAACTATGACAAAGATTTTCTATTTTATTTTTATTCCATCCTTAATACCTACTATAGTGTTTCTTTGTGTCAGGCACAAAGTGCCACCACAAGTGCCCGTGTGCCCGGAGAGGTGCTGGTAACATTCTTGGAGAGCCCTGGGTCTCTGATGCGAAAGTGGTGATGTTTTCCAAGTCAAAGTTGACATCTCTAGTAATCGCCGCAAAAGCACCCTGTGCGGTCATTTGCTAATGTCCAAGACTATTACAACACCGAGGGATTGACTAAGGTGCACCAACCTGCCCCTCTAAGCCTTTGAACAGTCACTGGGCATTGCCCACCTTGAGTCCCTCTGAAACAATTTTGTTTTAGCTCTCATGTTGCTGAAGACACATCAGGGTGCAGTATTTAATTGGCAAATCATGCAGATTAAACATTCTCTTGTGTTATAAACTGATTAAATATTTAATTGTTGAGGAGTTTCATCTCAATGACATTTTTAAAAAAATACTGTAATGATATCTTGTATAATTAAAAGTAATTCTTTAAATGATAAACAGTTACATTCATCCAACAGTGTTTTATAAGGATTAATTTCTCAGAACTTTTCTTGAAAAGAAAATTTTCTTTCATTAAAGAAACTCTAAATTAAACATTTTAAA